ACCGCAGGCTTTCACCAAGGAAGGTAGCATGCTCAGGGCTGTATTTCACAAAGATGATTCTGGCAGCGGCTTAAGAACCAACCAGAGAAGGCAGGAAGAGCAGCAGAGAGACCATTTTAGGAAGTTGTCAGCAAAGTATGAACAAGAAACCAGGTTTGGGCTGAGAGAACAAAAAGAGGCTGATCCAAGAAGTATTAAGAGGTAGAATAGCAGGGCTTGATGGAGGTAGCTGGGAGGGGGAGGGAGGAGGAAGATCAAAGTATATTGTGAAGGCTTATTCTATGTCTCACCCAGCTGACAGCTCTACCTGCAGCCTGCACCACAGAACATGCCCAACGTTGTATGACATGACCAAGTGAGTGGGGCAGCCCTTTGCTGCCACAAGGAATATGGGGGAGCCACGGGTTTGAGGGGCCATAGAAAGTTTGGGGGTCGGGTTATGGGCATCCAGTTACAAATTCTCAAGAAGAGGGTCTGGCTCTTAAGGAAAAGGTCTGGCTGGAGGTGAGGTTTGGGGAGTCACCACTGAAGAGATGGTTCGTGAACACGGGGCAGTACACGTTCAACACCGAAGCGTGGACCTGCGGGGCCTGCAAAGGCCGCTTTGAAGGGGTGACTTGGGGAAAACCACGAGTGAGGGGTCACGGAAGCCAAGTGAGGAGCCAGGTTCCAGACCAAAACGAACCCACAAACTCACTGCCTTCTAGTCGATGCCGACTCATGGCGACCCTACAGGGCAGGACAGAAGTGCCCCAGTGAGTTTCCCACTGTAACTACGGGAAGAAGAAAGCCCCGTTTTTTCTCCTGCGGAGCGGATGGTGGCTTCGAACTGCCGGCCTCTCAGATCACAGCTCGAGTAACCGCTACGCCACCAGACTGGGAAGATAAGAGCAAGGAAAGATGCAACTTTGTAACTTCCCGAGCAGGCGAAACCACGGCATAGGGTTGAGTCCCCTCTGGATTCGGATGTGGGGGCGATTTCCCACGGAGACGTATTCCACCGGGGTTCAGAAGACCAGGCCTCACCCACTAACTGAGTGGGGAGCGAAACGCGCGCCCGCAGCGAGCTCCCCAACGTTCGCGGGGCCTCCGCCACTCGCGCCCCCGCTTGCGCTTCAAGCGCCCACCCACCCCCGGCCCAGGAGCCCCTTCCGCCCACCAGGACGAGACCAGGAGAGATTTTGAATCCTTCTACTTCTTCCCCCGTTCCCGCCCGCACTCTTGCCCATCCCGCTGGCTGGCACGCCAGTGCGCCCTCCGCTCTCCGGCATCCCTCCTTTCTCGCCACTGGACCCCTCCCTCCAAGAGACCCTCACCTGTCCCCAACTTCAAGAGGCTCTGGGCGATGGCTCCGGCCTCTGCGCAGCGTCCCCAGCACCACCCCGGGTCCCCGCTTCCAGGGACGCCGGGGTGTTGCCCTGCAGCGGCCAAGCACCACTTCCGGAAAGAGTACCGGCCTAGCAACTGAGAGTCCCGCCTCCCCGCGAAGCCAATAGGTCGCAACTTGAGAGTGATGACACGGGATTGGTCAGCGGCCCCGTCGGATCACGAGGCGGTTTGCGGGTTTCCCAGTGCACCATGGGAGCTGTAGTGCCAGCTGCTTCAGGAGGGTCCGAAGAGGGCTCAGTGGAAAGCCATGAATTTGCACAAAAGGAAATTTCTTCCAAGGTAGGGAGAGGCCATTCAAAGGAGTTACAGTATTAAAAAATGTTCACCAAAGAAAAACATGTAGTTAAAAAGCTGTAACAGAAGGCAAGCTTATTGCGGGGCTGACTGTGTGCAGTTTAAACTGAGGGAAATTACTGGGTACTGCTGGGAACAAATCACTTACAGGAATTTATCCACAAAGATTTGCAGACTCGGGACTCCTGCGACACAGTTCTATTCTGTCCTA